GCTTTCGCCTGCAGTGACCTGGATCATTTAGTTTTTTATTATCGCTCAATTAAACAGTTTTATGCAGCATCAGCATCACCACCTGTTGGGGTTTTTTAAAGATAATTCATTTTAGTTCATCTTCAGATGATATTAAATCAGAAAGAATGGCGTGTCACACCACACATGCTGCAGAAAAAAGAAAATAAGAGAGTGATTGCCCCCAAAATCCCAAATAGAGCTCATTGGTAGGACAGCTACAGCAGTGCCCTCAAAGAGCTGAAAAAGCAGGTGAACCAGATAACACACAAGTCAGCAGTATTTTTGCACTGGTGCATGTGCACAGTTGAGGTCCATGAAAGTTTAAGCTGTGCAGTGACAGACACATCTGGTTGGTGTTGTAGGAAAGACATGGATCAGTTTTTGGTTTTCTTTGCGTACTCTATGATAGAGGTGAATCTGCACAGCTTTCACTCTGAGTTTTGATTGGATGAGCCACAGATGTTGTATTAAGCCATTAGTAAAGTCCTAATGTGTGACAAGCTGAAGGGACAAAAACAGCTTTTTAAATCTTGTTGGGGAAAGTCACCAAACCTTTGATGATCTGTAGCTTTTACATCCTGGTGATCAGTGTAATCAAAGATACTATGCATGGTTTCCTCGCAAAGTGCCCGAGGCTTGACTGTCCAGCCTCTCCCGAGCATTACTGTTACTGAGAATGCACACTTTTTTGTCAGGATCTCACACGTGTGCTTTGAAGCATAACAAGGTAAATGATTTTATGCATTCAGTACTGCAGGACACACAGTCCACTCACATGTCTCTTAGATTTGTTATTTACTTTACAACAATATGATTTTCACAGAGGCAGTTCAATGCTCAGGCAGAGTTAGCAATCATATCCAATCTTTAAGTGATGACATGATGAATCCCAAACTAACCTGCGTTTAATAAGGCTTTTGTGTTTTTAACATATTTTAATGCTTTGTATCTGGTTCTATTTATTCTCAAAAAACTTAAAGACCGGATTACTTGAGTGCAAAAGTTAAAGTAAACCACACCCATATCTAACTCTTTAAGCCAATCAGAAAACAGCTCACTTAACAGTGGCACACAGTGGTCACACTGGTTGAATGAACTGGACTCTGGGGGGCAAGCACTCTTCAGCACAGTATGAATAACATA